CTACTAGTCCATATACTAAGCCAGATTAATCCAGTTTAACCCTCCCACTTACATTCATAAGACCTTTTTAACAAGCACATAATCTTTTCATGTGCTTTCAGATCGTTCAAGTGGTTTCCTTCCTTCATTTACAACCCCCAAATACTCACTCATGCCAACCTATTTAAAATGCATTCCTTTACTTGTGATTCCCGTTAATCACTCCGTTCCTTTATATTAAAGTTTACTTGCAAGAAAAGTCCACCAGCTTTGTCTGAAACCCCTTAAAACTGCCAAAGACATAACACAAAGAAAAGAGTAGTGCACTCCTAAATCACATCGTATTGGACAGAATTTTAAATTTATTTGCAGTTCCCTTCATGCTAAGATAGTACCTCGAAGAAATAGGTCACGATCATTTCCTCGCCATGTCCGGTGTATTGTACAGTCAAAAAATATGGTTTCTGTGCTCGTGGCACGGAACGGCCTTTCCACTACGCGCGGTCACTGCGTCGGTCGCCGCATTCTCTAGCTCTAACGGCACAGTCGTTAAAAGAACCGGTAAATAATCATAACAAATCTGTAAGAATAACAGATTTTTGATGTGTAATGACGTCACAGTTTTATTTCGGGGCTCAAATATTTGCATAACTAAACTCTCTGCAATGCGGAACAGTAGGCAGGAAACTGCGTAAAATATCTTACAGGGTTTTTTTTAGGAAACCGAACAACATCAAATACGTTTCCATTCTCAAGTGAATTATATTTTGTTCTCGTGTTGAGTGCTCTGTACTTTTGGTGGCCACAGACCGGCATTTTGCAGCGAAGCCAACATTACAGACTGCAGAGAATTCTATCCAACGTTCGTGGGCGTTCTACTGAGCTGTTCATGTGCCTAACGATTCGTGAAATAGAAAATAAAATACGAGTGGAAGTCATTTCGCTTTAAGACTGGAATACGAGGAAACTTATTTTGTTTTAAATAACATAACTGTCAGTTATCACGTCATTAATCAAAAATCAATCACGTCGTTTCGCCCTGAATAGATGCTTTACGAATTTCATATATTACTAAACGAATCTGTAACCGGCGATTAATAAAGTCATCACTTGAAGCAGACGTTAATGATTGGATTTTGTTAATGCCATCTCAGAAGACAGCCGTTTGAACCTCGAGTCTGACAATATGTAAAAGAAATCGATTAAGCATTTGAAGTATGTCTAGGATATTGTTAAGTAAACGAAACGAACAAATTTCTCTCATATTTCCTATTCTTTCAATTAAAACAGAGTTGTAATTAGCTGGAACTTGTGGCGTAATGAACTGAAACAAGGATTTTAGCAGAACACGTTTCATGGAAAGCCTACATATGGTAAAAAGGAAATCCACAAGCTAAAAGTTTCTCAGTTATTGAAGACATTTCCAGAATTTTCTGTAAACACAATGCTCCTTATCGTGTTCACAATATCCCACTACTAGTCCATATACTAAGCCAGATTAATCCAGTTTAACCCTCCCACTTACATTCATAAGACCTTTTTAACAAGCACATAATCTTTTCATGTGCTTTCAGATCGTTCAAGTGGTTTCCTTCCTTCATGTTTCCCGACAAAAATTTTGTATGCATTTCTCATCTCTCCCATGCTTACTGCATACGTCACAAACATCATATTTAATTTGATGATACTAAAATATATGGTTTTCAGTATAAATTCACAATGACGAACTTAAAAATCTGTACTCCTCCCCCAATATTGTCAGGGTGATTAAGTCGAGAAGAAAGAGATTGGCGGGGCATGTAGCGCGTATGGATGGGGAAAGATGTGTGGGTACTGGTTGGGAAGCCTGAGGGGAAGAGACCTCTGGGGAGACCTAGACGTAGATGGGAGGATAATCTCAGGCGGGATCTATGGGAGATGGGAGTTGAAGGAGACTGGATTTTGTTGGCCCAGGACAGGGTCCGGTAGAGGGCTTTGGTTAATTCGGTGATGAACCTTCGAGTTCGGTAAGCCATCTAGTTAGTTATCAGTATAAATTGTGAAGTTCCTCATACGCAATTTTATCTATCAAATCAGATTCAAATATTGTTCTCAGCACCTGGTTCTGAAACATTCTAATTAAAATACATTTTCAGATACCTAACAGAAGGGAAGTTTTAACTATGCAGTAAAGGAAGAGTCCAGAGACGTGATTTTGTTAGAACTGTGCTGCATATTTGGGCTTGTTGCCAGAATTCTAATGAGAATATTTTATATCCTACATGTGGCATTTCGGATTATCATGGCAAAAGTACAGTAGCCAGCTATTTTGACACGAGCAAGGTTATCTCGTGGTATTTATGCGATGTTTTCCCAATCTACAACATTGTTGCTGGCAGGTTTACCCCTTATTTTTTTGGCAGGCTGCCTGCCATGACGTCGGTCTCAGCATTGCGACTCTCATTGTTAGGTCAGGGGTCTGAGTCAGTATCAGCCGTCCTCGACAAGTTACGAATTCTCCCTGAGTCCCGGGTCGTCTCATCGATCCCCGATGAAGGTAACTCAAGAAGAAATCCGGGTAAGGTCTGGCATACAAATTTGGTACCGTCGAAAAGAATTCTGACTAACCAATGCTGAAAGACAGTCGTAATTAAAATAAGTAGATGTTTACCACAAATACGCAAGTCCGTCTACACTAGTTTGTCATAAGCAAAGCTATAAACTCCTATGGTTGTTAGGAGTTTCTAAAATTTAAATTTAAGAATTAATCTAGGTAATATTTGCTATCCGTATATAATATTTTAAAGTAAAGTTCGGGGGTAGCGTCCGACCCAACATCTGCAGACATATCAAGTTTCTAGCACAGTTCTTTATTCACCGAAATAATTTATTTCAATGACAACTTGTCAAAATTGGAAAGGACGTGGAAGGAAACGGTCGTAGCGTAATTTAATTCAGTATTATTCAGAGAGTAGCCTGGCGGAACTAAGAGAAAAACGAATAACCCCAAGTAAAATAGCCAGTTTCCGGACAGAGATCTGAACTCGGTACTTCTTAAATACGAAGTAGGAATTCTAACCACTCGACAGTGACGATAAGTAAACTCCAAGTATATAAAAGAATCTATGGACGTACCCCAAGGAAGCGTCCGTTACGTTCCGGCTTATCAGTGGATATATATATATATATAAGATGTCTGTGGGATCCGCGAAGTTGTTGGATTCATGATAGACATCCCAGGGAGGTTTAAGACGGAGAATTGATTGAGACAAGGCAACGTAATAAAATTGGAAAGCAACGTTTGTTCTCTGGAACAACCCAGATGTCATCACTAATTTCATAAGCCCAAAAACTTTTTTAACACCAAACGGAAGAAGCAGTTTGGCTTTGTACAAGACTGGGCTAGGCCGACGAAAATGAATACAATGAGAGACAGGGTTTTTTTTTTGAGAGAGAGGGGGACGACACTATAAAATGTTTGTCTGCTGTTAATTATATTCAGAGTGCTGTGAAAATCACATTAAATTTGAGACTTATAAATTGATACTTTATAATCAAGAGATCGATTTTATTATAATGATCTGTACTAATAGATATTTCCTCGAAAATATAGGAAAACAGAATTTTGATTTGCAAGGAAAATGTAAGATATAGGATAGTAAAACAAAAAGATTCAAAGAAATTGTAACGGTAATATATAATATGATGACGTATAACGTACCATATTTCTATGAGTCAACTGAAGTGATATATACAATTAGACTCCTAACCAATACTATTAAAGTCTAAATAACATTTACACTTAACACAGGGAATACAGTCATACATAAAAATGCAAAATTTACATTTTATTCATTTACTGAGCAGTAGACTACTACTACACCTTTCTAATTCTAATTTAAAAACACTATCAGTAACACAGATTACAAGCCTATTTATAACGTCAAATTGAAGGTTGGCTGACAATGAAATCGAATTACGTGGTCGTAGAATAATTTAAAATAGTCTACTATCTGTGTATTTGTCTGGAAGAACTGAGGAAAACCACTACAAGTCCTCTTAAGATAACCAGTCTTTCGGCTCAGATTCGAACTCCGGACCTACGAAACGTTTTCAGCATTGACAGAAATTATATAAAAGTAATGTAACCACCTTCATCATCAAAGTGGTTTATGAGTTTATGTATCAACTAACCAAACTAGGATGAGTCACCTAACCTAAAACATGCAAGCTCATTTTTTTAATGAGTAATTATTGAAGAGTTTATTTTTTAAATGTAAAATAATGTATGACGGGCGAAATACGTTCCGTATTTCGATGGCGGAGCCAAAAAAGTTATATTACTGGATTACGATGCATATTTTTGGAAGTTTATCGTTGAATAGTTCAGTTTTTATCGGATTTTTTTTCTCAAAGCTTGGCACCACTGCTGTTAGGTTACGAAAGTCGACACTCTGCGCAGTGAAAATGTTAAAATTCCTCTTATTATTAATTTTTCTAACAAACAATCGCCCTGATGATGGAGGCAACAATCACATCTGAAACGTCGGTAAAGTTCAACCAGACTACACTGCGTAACATCTTTATACTCACCACAATGAGAACCTAAACTCTCACAAAATGAATGGAGTCTTCATAAAACTTATGTAATTTCGATATCACTGTAGCTGCCATCGTCAGGGTAAAATATTTTCAAAGCCCGATGGTTTCAACAAGCCTGCGTATGTGACTTATTACATAGGAAGGCTTGATAACACCGCGACGACCCTAAAACATACCAATTACCACAAAAAGGATACAAGGCCAAAATACAAACAAAATTTTCGGACAGATACCGTAAGTCACGTATAAGGTGACCTACATAAATAAGAAATATGAACCTCGACCCACTTAATTTTTTTTTAAAAAAATACGTATTTGTAGTTAAGCAGCTATAAATAATCAGTGAAACTTATGATAACGACGTATTACCCATAAACCCACTTCCTTTGTCCGTCATATAAAAGTACACAAATTGTTGCAAAAGCATTCGCAGACACAAACAAAAAGGAAAAATGCTGAAGGCACGTGTATTCCTTGTGGTAATTGCTTCTGCAATTCTTTTCGCATTAGCAGGTAAGCATAAATTCATCTTTATTCGTTTATTTCTGTTTTATAGCTCTCCATAAACAACGCCGATTGGTTGGTCATCATTAATGCTGTTAAGAGGTTTTGTGGCTTATGGGATAATACTTATTTATGAATGGGTGTGTTATTACAGCCGTTGCCATGGCAAGAGTGCAAAAGACACACGTCATTTTGTGTAAAAATTATGGAGTTTTCAGATTTATTAATGTTTTAAGGAATTAAATAATCATAACAATTAAAGAGTTTAACATAATTAAAAAAAACCATGGATCTAAGTGGTATGAAATAACATTTCGTATTTTACAGCTGAAAGTAAACCCATCGATTTTGGAGACATCGAAAGATTACTTTACAATTAGTAAGTTCACATCGATACATTGCATATATTTTGCACTGGTTTTATTAATCCTATCCTCTCTTCCTTTTTTCGGAGGGACATTAATGTTTTAATGAATTAAATAATTATAAAAATTATGGAGTTTCTCATGTAATTTTTTCAGTTTTCTTAATGTTTTACGCAATTAAATAATCATAACAATGAAAGAGTTTAAAAAAATTATAAAAACCATGGATCTAAGTGGTATGAAATAACATTTCGTATTTTACAGCCTTTTTTAAACCCATCGATATTTTTACAGCTGAAAGTAAACCCATCGATACTGATCGAGATATCGGAGGATCTTCTTAACCTTAGTAAGTTCACATCGATGCATTGCTTATATTTTGCACTGGTTTTAATATTTCTATCCTCTCTTCCTTTTTTCGGAGGGTCATTCCTGGAGTGTCACCCAGCACAAATAAAATACATTCTGAACAAATGGTGGATTTTCACACAATACCACCAGAGGCAAAGCTAATTTCTGGCGCGTTTGCAACGAATATTTAAAACGATATATCTATTGGCTTCGACAAGCCTCCTTCCGACAGCTAGGCACACGAAGAATTCAAATTTTCATTCAGAGCTGTTCAGAAAAAATAAATTAAATTTTGTTACTTGATAGTTTATACTGAAATTTGTCGACACATTCAAATTTTCCTTCAGATTAAATAGCAATAAAAGACGCTTCACACAAAGTATTACGTACGTTTCTGCGTTCATCCTCAGTATAACCGTATAAGTATTTATCGGAAAGTAATTTTTTTAAAATAAGATCTGTAGAAAAATTGAACACGTTTTTACATACCACGATACAAAGGAAATTTTATGTTGTGTTACCCAATAACGAGAGTAGAGTTTGGATGTTATCAGTTTTTATACTGTGGATCACTGTTCGTACGTCCCGCTGGAAATGTGGTATTCAGAACAGGACATAAACATTTAGCATTCATGAACTGAAAACCTAGATGGAGCACTACAAAACTGTTATAACATTTTGGAGCCTACATTTCCTAATGTCTTTGACAATAAAGCACTGACGGCTATGGTAATATTGTGTGTATTACAACGGCACCATTTTGTGCATTCCTTGTTGTTGTTTTTTGTGGTGGTTGGTTTTCGAATAATTGTTTTCTTCAGTGTAATTTCTTTTGTATGATGTAAACTACTTCATCTTTTCATAACGACTAATACAGTTCATTCCGTTTCTTACGAAGTCTGGCCTTTGCTGGGACATACAACAGCCAACTGAAATAACAAGGAGGGGGTGGCCTTAAGTCGAGGCATTACCACGCCGTTAAATAGCGTTCTTCTAGTTTTCACCCAAGCAAAACGAGAAAAAAAAAGAATTTACTTTAACACATAATATGTAAATGGGTTGTAAAATTACTACATGTTTAAAGTACAATAATTGTGTTTGTTAAGCATAGCATTTGAGGTTATGACGGGAAATTATCAGTAACTGCAAATATATATACTTAAAAATAATTTAATAAAATATATTTGTAGCACCAAAAGTTTATATTTTTACATACGCAAGAATTAAAATTAATGACATATCGGTTTGGAGTAAAGAATTAGAAAGTAGCAATGTACGAAATTATATTACACTATAAATATCAAATAAAGTTTAACCAAGAATGTGTAGGCACACATCCTAAAAGATTACACAGGGTCTGATCTCAAATAGTAACCGTGTATTAGCACAGAAGTTGTAAGTACGTACTGGCTGGGATAGTATGGAGCCACAATATTTTTAAATATAATGAACAGATTTAAATAATATTAAGAGTTAACTAGTATACAATATGTATTTAAGAACATTAACATATTTCAATCTAATTTCCATGCAGAGAGAAAGCCTACTTCTGGACTGTCCACATCATCAACGATGAAATCGCCAGGATTCTTGATTTTCGATTATTACTTGACTCTACTGTAGATAACAACTAGGAACCTTATTTTCCATAATGGATTAACATTTATTTGAGAACTGTTAAATAATCAAGACTAGAAATTTGTAGTCTGTACTGGTATAATCAAACTTTCCAGTTGCGTTTTCTTTTAATTTTGATTTCTACTTGAACCTATCTCTCAGAAACTGATTTGTCGAGGTGGTTAGCAATATTAAATACCCCCAAACCCTTACCTAACCTTTCCATCCTAGCACTTGGCGGTGTCTCCTGCAGTTCTGTAACATTTACGTTCAACTACATCAGCGAACGAACTATGTCTCTATTGTTCATCTCAATCGGAGCAAACACCCAGAATAATATCACCATCTTAACCGCCAAGCAAATCTCAAATCTAACATAGGTTGTCAATTGTTAACACATTTATTTTTAATATGTAACTATTTCTGCTATACGTGTACAGTTTATAAGCCATGCCCTATTTAAATTCTGAAATATTCTGTTCGCTATTTACCTGAGTTATGTAACTTTAACGGTTTATCTGTATGTCACTATCTTTAGTTTATAGCATGGAAACACACAAATATCAATGTTACGTTACAAATAGCATGGAAACACACAAATATCAATGATAAGTTACACTGTAAAATAAACTATCACCATGGAACCAAAATATCAGCAGTGTTGCGTTGTCATTATCATTTCACTACGTAGTTACCCAGTGTTTCCCCGACTTATCAAAGCGAAAAACGTCCTTGTCCCAATCATAAACAGAGAGATACGTAGGGTTCGCTACTACGGCTGCTACAAAATAATTTTTAATATTGTAAATTATAAAAGTATCTATTCCGTTAGTGTTAATTTTGAATGACAATTTGAAATATTTAATACTACTGGTATTAACGTCATGATCTAATTACTGTCTAATTTTATTATAGTACTATCATCGGAAATACCAAGCTACTTTGTTTCAGAAGCTAATTATTTTATACATTTTAATTGTTCAATCACAAGAAACACTGACCTATTATAAGAACAGTTAATTACCTTTCATATAATCGGAAATAGATTTATTTATTTTAAGGGACGTCATTGCAAACCAACACAACAAACCAAATTTGTTCGGAGAATCTGGAGGGAGATACCTCTTAGGGGACCTGGGTGTAGATAGGAGGATAATATTAAACTGGATCTCAAATATATGATGTACGTAAAAAGACATAAACACATTCGATTAAAGAAAGACATTTTAGTAAATTAAGCCATTACATACGTAAGCAATGGCACTTATAGAATTGACAGAGCCAGTTCATAAGCCGAGTTTTACGATCCATTATATATGAAGTCTATCGGCATACCATTTCAAAGTTGAAGCTCATCGAAATAATATTTAACAATTCAGTCCGTACCGCAAAGAAAACACAACTCTTAACCATTACAAAGATCAACTGGCAGATGATGTTTAAGGATATAATCGCTGTTTACATTTGAGAATCATACGAAACACACAAACAAAATGAAATGTTATCGTGATTTTTAAAGCAGGAGGTACATATATTTACCACTGGGCTTTAAAGTGTTAATGATGATCTGATTACGATTACAGAAGGGACAAATGGAATGGAGCACCGTGATTCTTTGTCACTGGATTCATCGTGAATAATCTACACAAGACTATCAGATATCCGATTTAACCGAAATATCTTTTAGAATCACCTTATAAAGTAATCGATAGACAATTTCTGTCACAAATCCCGCATATCAATAAATTGTAACATCCAGTTACACAGACAACAACACTGTAGGCCATATTACATAAATCCAATTCACAAACACAAATATTTTGTGTACGAATATGAAATCTGTATATGTTTATCAGAAGTCAATTACTTGGAATATCTCTTCACATTAGTAAACGGAGAATTGATAATAATATCTTCTCGGGCAACCAGCAACGTTCATTTGAAACAGAAGCGCAAATTTGAAATCTATCATAACCAAAAAACGCACGAAAACCTGTATCAGAAGATTACACGAAACTAAATCTAACGAATGTAAAATTACATGTAAGCGAACTAGATTAAAATGGCTCGTGATATGATCAATTTGGTTACAAAGCGACAAGAACACCGCTACATCTGTCGGCCCAAAACGAGTAACAAAGTTCTAGCTCGTTTCTCGGCCACTCTAGAGCAGCATCGATCCGACATCGCTTACTGCAGACTTAAGACAGATGGCAGGCAGCAGCGACACTGCGCCCTTATTTCGACTCGCAACGATACTGCAATGTAATACGATAGTCGAAGTCCAGCTGATTTCTCGAAACATTATCGAACAAAGTCATTGTTTGTGAAAACTTTGTAGGAGCCATGTTCGAAAGTCCTTTCTTCATGAGGCTTTTCTTCTCAATCTATTTTATACATCCCTTTTTATTATACTCCACCTTTTCATCTTGTTCTTCCCAATGCTCTTCTCCAAAATTTATTTCCTCCTTCTTATTTATACGGTTTATTTACTCTCTCACTTGGTCTTATCCTATTCCTGTTTTGTCATTCCCTTTTCGTACTTTATCCTCAATACCCCTTTTCTATTCTACTTATTCATTCTATCTTATCATTTTATCACAAATATATACACACACCTTTCGTGACTGCAATGTTATTTTAACTGCACTACACCAACATGGCGAGAGGTTATAGGGTCTTTGAAAAGTAGCACCGACCTACTTTTTGGAACACAAAAGCGAGGTATCGATAATTCGTGACGTTCGATTCATTTTATTATCACACCTTCTGTAATAACAATATTGTTTTAACTGCGCTATATTAACATGGCGAGAGGTAAATATCACCGACCTACTTTTTGGAACACAAAAGCGAGGTATCGATAATTCGTGACGATCGATTCATTTTGTTTAATGCCAATATTGTTTTAACTGCGCTATGTAAACATGGCGATAGATTATAGGGTCTATTTAAAAAGTAGCACCAATACACTTTGGAGAAAACAAAAGCGAGCGATCGATAATTCATGACGTTTGACTCATTCTGCTGTAATTTTCATTACGTAGTTTAGCGATGTGGCTATTCATGCGCAGAATAAGGAGAGACAAAAAAAACCTGCAGTAGCCTTGATAACTCGTAGAACCGAGTATTCCGACGAGCTGTTATAATTGGACATTAATCTGGTTGTATTGTACTAACCAGGTGGTAGTTTGTCAGCTTAACGACCTGCCTTCGAGGCTATTCATTCTCATTCACTATCAGACCATTTAACTTCTTTCAAAAGCATTTAAATTTATTGCACAAACTTTTTCATGTCCGTTTTGCGTTTTAAGGAAATTCTTATGCAGACCACATGGTTACATCATAGGAACATGTGACTCGTCACTGTCAGTTTTATTTCGTAAATAAGGGTGCAAATCAAAATCATTAGAGATCCATTAAAATTACCCTTTCGTGTTTCCAGACTAATTTAATAAAACACTAATTTTCACTCAAGGATATCTTCTACGAAGATTCCTGTCTTATGGGTTGTTGCGCCATGTAGTTAGAATTTTACCGACCTTCCAGACGTCTGATGACGGAGGGAGCGAGGACCTCTGAAACGTCGGTAAACATCTACCAGACTACACGGTGCAACAACCCAGAAGACTCTTCACCGTGGATTTCCGGGCTGTGACGCCATGTAATCTTGTATTTTATTTATAGTTTATTTAACTAAACTTTCGGTGTCCAGACTGTATTGAGTCGGACGAGTGAGTAATAAATTGGAAGAACCCCAGTGTCCTCACTCTTGGAATATGTTGCAAATTAAACTTTTAATCTTTCTTAAAGCGTATCTATTTAAGACAATATTTGTTCAAAATACGTATTCAATTATTAATCTTAGGTATCCATTATTCAATGTAAAACGCGTGAATTTTAACTGACAACGAAGCTCGGAGATATCTTGTGAGAAAAAAAAACTCCCTCTAAACAGATTT